GGTCAGATTTGTTGATCGGTCATAATTTCCAGGCGCCTGGACTTGATGGCGGAGGAAGTCGTAAACGACCAGTGGTTGTGAAAACCATCCTGAACCGTTGTAAGGTTCAGTAATTTTCCTGCACATAATCACGGGATGTGACACGCGTAGGGGAATTATCAGAAGTGCTAGGCAAGTTTAGTCCTACGCTTAAGGTTGCCAACTGGGAAAAGTTTCAATAAAGGACATAGATTACCGTCATCTTTTATTTTGTAACTTGCAGGAAAGAACATTATAAAACAATGAAATAAAAATTATATGCAAGCTAAAAAGGTATAATAAAACAATCTTCACGTGTTTTTCATATATGAATCAATTACTACTCAATTATAGCTATAATAAAATAGTGGTGGTTTGCCGTATTCAAAGTAAGAAGGCATTCACGTTTCGTGGCAGACTAGAAGCTTGTAAGGAAGATTTATCAAAAATCATTGTCGAGTCAGGTAGGGCATTACTTTTCGATAATTTTTGGCTAAATTGTAATGTCACCAATTCCTACTTTAAACCTAGATAACTTTAATGATTGGTAGTAAATATGGTAGAAACGGCATCGTTACCCACGGTAGAAAACATCGATGAAGAGAGTATGGAATCTGTCGAATATGATGTTTACAAAGTATTTTCTACCGTTGGCTTTGTTTTCCACGCAACACGGGTGTAAGCATGTCAGTAACACATTCACATAGTAGTTGCTGTTTGGTAATGAATGTGTAGTCTATATTTTATAATACATAATCTGCGCTTACAGGCGTGAAATACGTTTTGCGTTATTCCTGTCACATTGTTATAGTCCGGCAGAATCGTGGCCGAAGATCGTTTTGAGAAATAAAGTTATTTTTATTCTTTAGATATAATGTCAATGACATAAATAATGATACCCAGGTGGGTGTGGAGTATATAATGTTGAGCAATTTTTTCTAAGTGGATTTTAAGGCGCTCCGGAAGTATTCGTATCAAAATGACGCACATCCTAAACCCTAACCCGGTACACATACAATGTGCATGTTGTGCGCCATCTTGGTACGAATACTTCGGGAGCACTTTTTTGTTAAAAACAATTATTTCATAACTACATGGGTTAGTTTTGAATACATAGTAACATTGAATCTCACTACAATGCCAGAAATTCAATTTTAGTACAATAAATTGTAGTTTATTTCTCTAATATAAGCCAAGTTCCATCGACAGCATCTAGCCACTTTCTTTTGCACTCTTCAAACTACATTTGTGTTGCCGCGAGCATTTCGTTTTTCTGCTTGAAGCTTCCGGACTTGGAAAATATTTTATTAGTTAAAATGGATTGGAATATTCGACCTCGTTTTTCGCTCCGGACAAGGCCATGTAAAACCATCCACTGGTATCTAACGATGTGTAACGTGTTTTCTATTGGAAGAACCGGAACTTTTCAGGTTCAGCTTTGACTTTGTTCAAATTAATATATTCTTGTGGACATGGTATATATATATATATATATATATTAATATATTCTTGTGGAAGGTATGTGTATGCGAAACCGAGATGTGCACCTGTTATGCCAACATACCGGTAGTTGAGTCAAACATTTCAATCTCTAGTACATCACACACATTTTCTTGAGTGCTTCGGTTGTACGTGGTAATGCGCACATGCATCAAATTCCACCTGTTTATTGACCTATGGTTTTTGACGAGCTTTTGTGTATGATTTCATCCCATAGAATTTGTATGCTGTTCTACAGAATATTAGTTTCAGCTTTTTCATTCATTCAAACCGCTTGTTGGAAGTAAGTTTTGTAATATTGCGTGTTGGTTTTCAACTGATTTATTGATATCCATCATTTGACATCCTCAAATCCGGAATGCTAGTAAATCTTTAATACAAAAAAAAGCAGTATCATCTGCGATAAAAACAGCAGTACACACCAAAATGACAGCTGGGGCATGGATACTCATATTATCTGCTCCATCCCGTGGCGTTTCAATATGAGGCCTGTCCCGATACCAGTTTACATGAGTGCCAATTGGTATCTAAGCTCAGCCAGAGACAAAAAGTTTCGGACTGCGGTTGGCGTGACGAAATTTTTTTAAATATATATTCTACAATAAGATTGTTTGATTGCATATTACTGAAAGTTACGACTTATATGTTTTTTCCCATTGCACTCACTACTCCTTTACTATAATATTCGATAATAGGACGCTCATCTGACATAGTTTTTTAAGTGTGTGAATAGGTATAATATTTTCCACGCAGTTCAGATGGGAATGCTCGAATATATCTAAGAATCGCTAATATTGGTTTGCAATGCGATGAAATCCCATCTTGGCATTTCTGCCTCTCGCAATTGCTGCGTATATTTATCGGAGAAGTTCTGTGGCGTGGTTATCAAATGAAGAAAACATGGAAGTATTTTTTCTACTTCTCTACTACTCTCAAACCTTGACATTTTGGGAAAACTTTTTTTCATTCAATCTTTTTTTGAAACATCCCCAAAAACCACAGTTGATTCTGTCATTAATCTACCAAAACAAACACCTAAAATCATTAACAGATGCATATCACTATGTTGTAGTGCAGGGGTGCACAACCTTTTTGCTATTGGCGGCCACATTGCATTTATTTTTATACAATACGGCCGTCAGGAGGTTAATAGCGCCCCGAAGGCGCGCGAAATTTTTTGGCTTTATGACGTCATAACCGCGTATTTGACCCGTGCGAGGTGCCCTCTGCCCAATTATGAAGTTTGTAGGACTACTTGGAAGTATAATATTCGCATTTTATTAGGATTTTTTTTTTGGTGGACCTATTCTAGAGCAGATATATTCAGCAAGTTGCATAATGGTTGCACAATTTTGAAAAAAATCGAAGGTCGGGGAGGGGCGGTCGCCCCCATTTTCTTGTCCCCAAAAGTATAATAAAATGTCAAATATTTTTATGAATTTATTCTATAAAAGTTTGCAAAGAATTGTAGCAATTTAATGACTCCTTTGGTCTTGCATGTGGGCAGATAAACTTGCAAAGTGAGGTAACTGGCAGCAAATACACCATCTAGATTGTGACGCATCATGTCGTCTGACTTTTTTGCAGTGCTTCTGTTTTGCTTCAATATACGCCAGCATAGCCGCCAAATCCTATATTTTGAACTTTTTTTTCATAGGATTTTGTATGTGGACGGCCTCATTTTTTTTCGCGACGGCCGCAGGTTGTGCATCGTTGTTGTAGTGTAACTTTTTTAGCCTCACTTTTTTGATATTTGTAGTTAGATCTCTTGGGACTCTTTCAAGCAAAGTTACATACAAAACATTGGTTGTAAGCTGCAAACATGATCATGTTGTTGGAATAACTTGGCTTTTTACCACCCGTATATCATTACGTATCGATTTCAATCGGTAAGTATGTTGATAGGTATTCGTCTGTTTGTCTGTTAGATGCACGCGGTACGGTCGCCTCTTTTAATTTATACCAGGGTTTCTTAAAAGGGGGCTCTGGCCTCCTTAGAGGCCACGGATTGGTTATCTGGGAGCACGAACAAACAGATTGAAATGCGATTATATAAAATGTATGTATTTTTATAGAAGAGAAGAAGAAAAAGTGTTGAGGGTCTTTGGTAGTTTGAAAAGCATTGGCATGGAACATAAACATGAATTACATTCTTTCCCAGGGACATACTATAAATGTAGCAATTTTATCATTCATGTTCTTGTGATAGCATTATCTTTCACTGCATCGTGGTGATCATCCTGCTGCATAACAATCCTTGCTAACAAATAATTGACTGTTCTCCACCGGGTGTATATTTGCGCACAAACTGTGCGCAATCCACTTGAACCACTGCCGACTGCATTAGCAGGCTTGTATTGTTAATTGCAACAATAGCAGGTATTTTGAAATAGTACTTCTTATTTGACGCGTATGTTTCAACAGTGTTTCCCTATCTATGCGTCGCGAATCGCGACCCAAAGCTGGGTCGCCTGCAAATATTTCCGGTACGACAAATACCTAAAAGGTATTGATTTTATTTCCTGGTAAATTTGGTGCTTCCGTAGTATGTGCATCAATATGGCGCGCAACGTGAACGTAGTATATGTACCAGGTTAGGGTTCAGGTTGTGCGCCATTATGATGCACAGATTTGACGAAAAACACTATAACAAATATCAAGCCGTAAAAAAATGCTCAATGCTGCAAACTCCACGCCCATGTAGAAATGATGGGCAATGAGACTCCAAGATGAATAATCACAAATAAAAAAAACTTCATGTCTGAAGACAATGTTGGGCCCTAAAAGGCCCCTTATCTGCCGGGCTATTAGAAAATCAACGCAATACATAGTATCGATGTAATTCGAGTGAAGTTGGCAGTGTCATATAAATGCATATAAAGTCAAGCATATGAATATACTCAAATTCGTTTGCGTATGAAGACAATCCAATGTGCATAAACAGCCGATCACGTAGTGCACAGACAATGACTTCCTACAAATATACACCCTTGTATTTGACGTCATACATATCGATTGAACCATGGGCAATGTATAATACATTTTTCTTTAAATGCAATTTTGCGGCATTTGCAGTCAGACGTAAATTCTTTTGCCTTTTCCAACATCATTTTACTCTATTCTTGAACGATTCACTGAAAAGTGACTTCCCTGGCTTGCTATCTATAATACTTTCACCAAATGAGATATATGAAAATGCGCGCTTGTATACTACCTTGGATAACTTCTACAGCGAAGGAAGTATGTATAGAAAGATGCTACTGAGCTCACAGAAATATATTAATGGATGTTATATCCGGTAAGCAGCACAAAAGCGGATATACGAATCAATTACTACTCAATTATAGCCATAATGAAATAGTGGTGGTTCGCCGTATTCAAAGTAAGAAGGCATTTACGTTTCGTGGCAGACTAGAGGCTTGTATGGAAGATTTAATAAAAGTCGTTGTCGGGTCAGGTAGGGCATTACTTTTCGTTCATTTTTGGCTGAATTGTAATGTTACCAATTTTCCTTTCAACTAGATAACTTTAATGATTGGTAGTAAATATGGTAGAAACGGCATCGTTACCCACAGTAGATATGATGGGGTGCGGGATAGATGTTGAAAACATCGATGAAGAGAGTATGGAACCTGTCGGATATGATGTTTACAAAGCATTTTCTACCGTTGGCTTCGTTTATCTACGCAACACGGGTGTAAGCATGTGAGTAACACCTTAACCCAGTATAGTTACTGTTTGTTAATAAATGCGTAGTCTATAATGCGTACTCTGAACTTACCGGCGTTTTACGTTATTCCTGTCACATTGTTAGGAAATTAACGTAATACATAGTATCGATGTAATTCGAGTGAAGTTGGCAGTGTTATATAAATGCATATAAAGCCAAGCATATGAATATATTCAAATCCGTTTGCGTATGAAGACAATTCAATGTGCATATATAGCCGATCAAGTAGTGCACAGACAATAACATCCTACAAATACACATCCTTGTATTTGACGTCAAACATATCGATTAAAACCACGGACAAAGTATAATACTGGACTGTTCATAATATCCCGATAAGTGGAAGAATTTATAAATTCATAATGCACAAACCAATAAGCGTTTTGTGATTGCAAATGACTATAGAGCATATCTTTTCGTGTCGAAGATAAGTATGCAGATTATGCCATGCTATAAAAGCCGCAATTACATCTTGGGTTGATTGTATTGTACCAATCAATACAAAGGCATGGCCGCATGAATATCTATGAAAATTTTCAACTACAATAAATTAAGGACCGTTTATATAGCGAATGATTGCCACCAGATATATTCATCAAGGCAAGTTAAATAAATACAACACTATCAATTTATGATGTAAAGATGTCATCATTGCATTTAACATACTTTTCTTCGGCACACGAAAGGCGTCATAATCATATTAAAAATTGAAAGTCTGCATCATGACGACGGTAATAAATTTTCCACTTTTTGAGCTGTCAAAGGCAGTCGCAATAATCAATTAAAGCATTTTTAAACGATTTACCAACAAGAATCGAGGGATCTTCTGTACAAAACCTGTGGCCTGAATACAACACTTTTCCTGGAACGATGTCAGCCCATTACACAAAAAAATAAATTCATATTTTGGAACGCCTTAATTAATTTGAAATTCGGAACAGTCCTTCATAACAATCATTATAATTCTTTCAACATTTGCCTGGAATTTAGCCGACATGCGGTGGCCATTTTAGTCAATTCACTTTGTTCCCACACATTTGAGCATTATATTTTGTTTCTTTCGCGCATGAAATATACATCTCCAACCATTGCTAATTTACAGTAAGCTTTCGAATAGCTTATCGCTTTCAAACTTGAAAAAATCATGACGTACTCCTACCAATAATCTTTCAATGGATCGTGGAGTTTTGTCCTAAACAAAAATTAAAAAGATACAACAACTAAAGAAACCAATGCGGCGTTTGCGAGCATCGCAGCAAGCACTCCAACACGCGAGAAATGGTATAAAAACGGTTCCATTATATTTGAACCCACGACAATTGCACCCGCATACTATTGCACCTATGGAATTTTTTTTGTTTTACGGATATTTGAACCCATACTAACTAACCCTAACCCATGGGTTTTAGCACCCGCATATAGATTGAACCCGCGGATATACACAAGGGTTCAAATGTACGTGGGTTCTAATGTACGGTCACCATAAAAACACGACAGGCACACGCTCACATTTGGTGACTTAATAAACACAATAGCATAAGTTTTGTAGCATGTTTGTGCAAGACAAGAAGTTTGAACAGCTTCAAAGTCATGTAGACTCGCGGGAGGCTTTGAAAATACAACACTCTTGGCTGCATGCAATTCCATCGGCTGTCCGAAACTCAAAGTTTATTTATGAATATTATGTTGCCTGTATTCACGTACTTGGTTAACTGCAATTTAGATTTATGCAATTTCATTGGCTGTTTAAAACTTGAAGAAAGTTTATATATGAACATTGTGTTGCCTGTATTTACGTATTCGATTAGCTGCAATTTGATTGCCCATAAAAGAACATGAATTTTTTAAATGTATATATATATATATATGTTTTTGCTGCACAGCTTTTTTGCTGCTCAAATTATATGTTTTTCAATCATATCATAATGCTTGCTCGGCTACAGTAACCCATTGTCACCATTTGTAACGTAACCATTTTTTCGTTTAGGCGTGACGTTGAGGAAACCATGAAAATATCAAAACAATTTTTTGATCTCAGTCCTGACGTCAAATGCAAATATGTTTACGATGAAAACTACAGCGGATATCATAAGCTTTATACCGAAGGGTATACACTATTGCATAATATAGTAAATTAATATAGATTTATGAGAACATTTTGCAAACTATCTTAGTCTTATATGGACGACTAAAAGTTGTGTGCAAACTTTGCTATAAGCCTGCGCAAACTCTTACTGAACTAGATAAATAAATTATAAATAAATTATAATATATACAGAAAAATTATATTACATTGAACCAGACGGTTTCAGTGAATTTCCGCTCGATATTCACGTTACCGAAACAATACAAATAATTTTTGTATTTTTTTTCTTGAATTAGCACGAACGTAAATCGACCAAAAGACATAAAAGAGGCCTACAATGTTGGAGGAATGGCACTCGCTTCGGGAAAGGGACATTGGCCAGATGCAGAAGTTGAAGGTTTCTCTGATACGATGGCAAAGTTCTATGACATCTGTCGTCGCTTAACATTGAGAATACTCGAACTATTAGCTGTTGGAATGAAAATAAAAGTAAGTGCTGGTGGAATGACATCCTTGCCGTTCTCTAATATTAACATGCGAGTAGCGGAATATCACGTGAACCGAAGCTTGTCGACTGTATCATTACGCTCAACGCGAGGCCGTACAATTGCTTTTTTCTGTCATTATAATATAACACAGGGCTGTCTGAGCAGTGTGATCGTGATTTTAATTGGGGGGTTTCTTAACAAGTATTAGAAAAATTGCTAAAGAATCGTATGATTTTGCTTGTGGAATAATATATTTTCATATTCAATAATTAGGTTCATTCATATTGAATGTTTGGCATCCCTTAATTTCAATGATGAGATCAAACCCCGAGATTTCAATATGGAATTTAAAATGAATCGAAGTATTTATAATTTTAACACAAGGATTCATGCTCTTATACAAGCATTTTCGATTTATTTAAAGGACAAGGAATATTTCATTAAATGTCACTCTAGAATCGGAAAAGAAAGAAATTATACAATACTAAGAACATTGTATTATCCTCCTATTCCCGATGACGTGAAACCAGGACAGATTCGTCTCGGTGAACATTCTGACTACGGGACAATAACTCTGCTATTTCAAGACCATATCGGGGGACTTGAGGTAACAAAATATAATATGACTTGTACTATTTGGCCAACACAGTCAAAATCGCTTAGGTACTGTTTGTTTATGGGTAAACACACAACTGTTCAGGATGCTTGAGTATATTATAGATAGGCTCACCATACGTCCCGCTTTAGGCGGGACAGTCCCGCTTTACAGCGTTTTGTGCCGCCGTCCCGATAAGTCAGCCAAAAGTCCCGCTTTTCCAGCATAATACACAAACATGTTCTCGTTACTGTTGTTTCTGTGTAGCGCAGCGCTAGCATACTTACTGAAGGTGAATGCGTTCGTTTCCCGCTGATTCCCATTGATGGCAGACGTATCGCATGTAAAACCAATACTAATTAGTCTAAATTCGAATTATTTGTACCGGTATCGTTAACGTCAAGTTCTTTCTATTTTTCGAACTGAACCCGATATTTGGACGGAGAATATGCGCATGAAATTTCGATAACAATATGGTCAATAAAGACAGCCGAGACAGCTTTAAATGTAGGAATGTAGGCCTATGTAGTGAAATCGGAAAATGTGAAGTTACAAAATCACAGCTAAGGGGTCGTTGTCTTTCGAGGCGTCCCGATTTGAAGTCACAAAAATATGGTAACCCTAACTATGGATTGTGTTATTTTGCTCACGGTTGTTAATCATCATGTCAATATTTCGTTTCCTCCTTTTTGTGGAAAATCACTTTTCTTATAAACTACTTGATTAAAGATTGTATTTTTCTCTAGTATGTTTGCTTATTTATTTCAAAAATTTATGTGGCCTGCGAATCGGGCCTGCGAATCCAGTTAATTAATCGGCCTCGAGTCGGCTCGGGTTTAATACCCACTGGCCCGGGTCGGGTCGGGCTGGAATTTTTGGGCCCAATCTTACCTCCAATGAAAAGGGGACATGACGTTGTAAAATATTCAAATGCTTTAAAATATAAATGGGCAATTATACAAATGATATTTACATGAACTTAATGTACTATTGCCGTCTACTAAAGACGCACTAAATCAGAACCCATGATTGTCTTAATTTCTTCATCGAAAATGGACCAAATTTATTAGATTTTGTTTACGCTTGAACTTCTGTTTATACTTGAAAGTTTTAGTATAGTCCAGGATGGACTTGTACCCGCTGCGCAAAATTGTCAATCACCCACTCATTTTTCTGCTGCCTGTGCATGCCAATAGCTAAAATATTGATTTTATGGGGGGCTCTCCGAGGCAAGTCCTACAGAAAACCTCATACTCAGTAAAATGCGCTTGGTAGTTATTTTCAAACATTGCATAACTGCCCGTATTGGTTTGAGAACGAAAATAAAAAGGTTAATGTGGAACATAAAATGGCGGTACTGAGAAAGTGCTGGACATCATTTGGAGTTTGGACGACGTGGAGGGATTGCTAGAAGTGATTAATGGTTTCAGCGTGACAGTGCGGACGAGTATTCGAAGGACAATGTGTGTGTGCGTGTTAGTGGTTGACAATTTTGCGCAACGGATGTAAGTCTGTTTGCAATGCCAAGGAGGTGGGTGATTTGGCACATATTCTTAGGCAGAACATAACTTTTGTGCAAAGAGTCCTGAAACTTGCGAGTGCATTCATGCACAAACAGAAGTTTAAACGTAAACAAAATTAACTAAATTTTCTTCATTTCCATAGAAGTAATTAAGAAATGTATGGTTACTTTGGTTTTTTGGTCCATCTTGTGCAAATGTTTGCATGTATGAATGAATGCGAACACGGGGTTCAGAGAAATGTGCATAGGTGTGTTGTAAATGTCCATGACTGCAAGCTAATATAAATGCTTGCTTTTCAATTCAAAGGTCGAAAATCTAGACGGTCAATATATCCCAGCGAATCCGATACCAGGAACCGTAATTGTCAATATCGGTGATTTGTTGCAATTCTGGACAAAAGGAAAGTTGAAATCAACGGTATGTATATGATTAAAACCAGACAGTTAAAAAGTATTTTGGTTTTAAATGCGAGAAATTAAATTAATGTCCGAATTATTTATACATTGACGATTGACAGTTTCAATCAATTAGTATATTTAATCAATTAGTTTAATTAGTTTGAGGAGGAAGAGTTAGTAACAAAACATCCGTTTTTCCGAAAACGAAATACTTTTGCAATTTCCGTTGTTTCAGAAACATCGTATCAGAAACCCGATCGACGAAGAAAAACGTAAAAGTTTTCGCCAGTCAATTGTTTACTTTGCAAATCCAAATTTCGAAGTCAAATTATCAGAAATTGAATACGATGGATGTCCCGTGATCGAAAACCACACACCGGTTGAATGTGAATTTGATGAGAATCTAACCGCAGTCGAATACAATGAAAGAATGCTGCGTAACACTTACAAATAAAACTTATTTTTGTCGTGAAACTAATGATAACGGAGAGTTATCAATAAGGATTCAGTGTTTAGGTGTATTTTATTTCATTTCACAAAAGTTTATTCTACTCTTCTCCATTCTATAAACTTGCTATATATATATAGACTATATGAAAACTATACATGAGGAATTTTGTGTAAAGAACGAAATAAAAACTAATGAGTGTTGTCGTCAAAATAACGATAAATCTTTACGATCTTTACGAGTAGGGATATTCTTATAGCAGAAGTCCAGCTGGCTTATGAACAAAAATGAATGTACCTGAACCTATTCAAGTTTTGAACTGTTCGTGCATAAAGCTAGAAGGAATAACCTGGATCCAACGGTATATAAGTGATGTGCGCACATATTTCCCTTAACGTAAAATTCGTGTGAGTAATGAATTGAGTCTTTAAAGTAAATGATCCACATCGATTGAAAACATGAACTCGAACGCGTAGACTTCACGTGAACCCACTTTGCTGTAAATATTTTTTCAATAGGACAAGTTCCAGACTAGCACAAAACTCCAATGTTCAAACTCCACATCCACACCTAAATATTTACGCTCGAATTATCTTTCGTGTATTTTTTTAAATTCATTTCAATGTGTTGTTTGGGGTAAGTGGGCACGTGCATCAGCACGTCTTAAATCTTTTTAAAATTTTGCCCACTTCCCTGATTTTCTGTATATTTGTTTGTTCAGCCATGTATTGCTTCATTATTTCGTTGTAATGGAAAAACTTACTTACTAGATCAGGGGTGGCCAACCTTTCACATACCATGCGCCACGTTTTAAACATAATGTTTCAGATGCGCCGTAAATATCTTGTATTCCCACGCCTAATGTCCACTTCTTGTTGAAATTATATAAATTTATAATACACACACATATATACACACGTATATGTAGTTTTTACAATTTACAACTTCACATGAATAGAAATTAAGCAAGGAAGTATAATAAATAAAACTGATCAATTTCATTTAAGTACCGCCTTTATGAGACTTTTGCTGCTGTTTTACTTTCGCCAGTTTTTTTATTCTTGGAGTTCTATTTTTGAAAGAGTTTTTTCACAAACAAAGCACAACGGTTTTCTTGACGGACCTGCAATAAATAACAACTGATTTTCCCATTGTTCATTAAATTCACGCTTACTATCAGTTTCCGCCTTTCTTTTGTTCATTTTCTTTCGCACTGTGATGGGTAACAAAATATATAAAAGCAAAGCTTAAGTCTTGAAAAGTACAAAATTGCAAATGTTTACAAACAAAAATCAACCTTTAGTACACGCCTTTACACACACAAGAAGAAACTTTACCAATTAAGTTTACAGAAAACCACTCATTTAGAGAATTACCGAATCACTGAATTAAACACTGAATGAATAAATTTCAATGACAGCCTCATATATATAGTTAACTCAACGAAAATTCTCGTATCCACGCAAAAATTCGAGCAATTTACGATAAACAGATTACAATTGAATACGAAACAGGGAATCATTGTGACGCCATGCTTCAAATAAAAACTACAGCCTTCCTGAAAGTAGGAAAAAAACGCATTCTGTCTTATGAGCATTACGCAATAAAGCTGTTTTTAACAACGAAGAGAAAAAGGTACGATTAAGAAGTAAAGTTAGGCGTAATATTGTGACAACAGGCCTTTAGTATCAATATTTGAACTTCATTTATTTTCCTGTTAAAGATGCAATGCGCCACCTCCAATCATGCAATGCGCCACGTTTGGCGCATGCGCCATAGGTTGGCCACCCCTGTACTAGATATTAAAACTCTTGTACAATTATAATTGATGTTTGTAAAAATTATATATATATATATATATATACATCTATTTGCTGCATTTCGGTCACATGTTATTTTTTGCTGCAGTTGGGCTACTCGTTTTCTGTGGCATATGGTGAGCCACTCACAGCGTTATTTTTAGCGGTTTTCAATAAAAAATGGTATGACAAAATTTCACGCAAGTAATACAGTTCGTTTTAAATATAGTGGAGTTGGTGCCCAATCGTCGTCGCCCAATTCCGAGGGACTACGTTATTTAGCCTATTTGCGGGAATGAGGAACATCATTGGATATGGTCGACACCGCGAGCTGGCTATTTAATCATAGTCCATCATTAAAAACGTTCACGCTTTCCCTAAATGCTTTGCTTGTAAGCCACTGCCCACCTGTTGAATATATTTGTAAAAATATAGTCTGCAAAACGCTCTGCCCGGAAACAGAGCTCAATGACCTGTAAACATTGAAATCACTCGAGTGTGACTAGATTGACGGGTACTCGCATCCGAGACCCAAAAACCCGATTTTGCAAAAAATAAACCTCTTCCTTTGGCCTGATCACTTTTGTGGGTTTTGTAGACATCGTGACAGACCTTCTTGCCAAGTTTGGCACGGATTAGTTCCCTGTAAAATGTTCGTTTGTTCCCGAAACCCCGAATATACTTTCGTATCAAGTTTCGTCGTGCGTAACGACATCTGACTCTGACTGCGCTTTCGAACTGAAGTGCTCTCGGTTGCCTAATCACAAATGAGTTTCTCGTGTAACAGACGATATTAGACCATGCACATGAAAATATGAGACTACTCATTTAATTATTTTTATACTCGTAATAGATGACACACATGGAAAAATAATAAATTGACAGTATACATACTGAAAAGTATTGTTTAGGAATTGTTCAGAACTAAAATCTCATCGTCTACAAAATTATATTTTGCGAAGTAATTGCAATTTCAAAAATAGAATAGACTATTTTATTGAGGTCAAAGTGTAACCTGAAAAGAGATCTAATAGCGATATTTTGAAAGTTGTTCATAGTGGAGTTTTGAATACCACATGACAAAATTTCCATAATTTCATAAATTGGATTATCTGTTAAATGACTTATTGCTGAAAGTTACGAAGTCGAGAGTTAAACTTCAAACACATATAAATGAACGAATTTTCAGTCAAACTTAATTTTTTTTTGCATTAGTCGATGTGAGAATTTTATATTTATATCTTAAGGGAGTGGTTTCAATTACCTATATCAGGGGTTCTCAAACTTTTGGTCTTGCGAAGCCCGTGAAGAGGTTGACTAATATTCACGGAGCCCCAAAATAAATTTTAAAATTGTTACTTTCCGATCAATATTCCTGAGTAAGTTAAAGATACTTTATGGGGTTAATACAAGCCATAATTAAATCTAAATTTCACAGATAAATTATATATATAAAGGCTGTAAATTTGGCACTTGACAAACGTATTAATAAATTAGGGGTCGAATCTTGTCCCTTTTGATATTTTTAAAAGACTTAAAAGGTCGCTAATAACGCGCGAGATTGCATTTTGTTACAATCACCGATTGTTTTCGTCGGCGTGGCGTGTTTTTTTTTAAAAAACCTTAACATCTTTACGTCGGTGTTTATTCTCCCTAAATCAAAAATTCCCTACGGCGTATACATGTATTGTTCCACAATGACGATGATAATTGCTCTTTTGTTCTCGTGGGTAATTAGGAGTTCAATCTGAAAGCATCGCTACCATATTATAGTCATTGCTTGATCGGCGACGAGAGGCTAAAATATTTAATAAAGAGGTAAATCCGCAACTCAAATTCTTTGATTAAAAAGCGGCATTGTGAATGATTAAAACTAAAACTTAAAACGGAGGATAACACTGCGTTTTGTTTCAACAGACTCACGACAGATAAAAGCTTTCTTAGACATTGTAAATCCTAAAATTTGGTGTTATGTTAGAGTTTCTTTGGTTATTCATCGTAGTAACTGAAATCGAAACACAGTCAATTATGCGCGCGATGTACCTTTTATCCATTCTGAGACTACCGACGGAGACGCGTGCAATAACATAAATTCAATCGTTCGTATTTTGCCCAGATCTTGTGATTTTTTAAACGGCGACATCTTGGAAAGAATCTGAGTGGCAGACCTGCGCGGTAAGAGTTAGTGTTGCAAGAACGGCTCATATTTGTCGAATTCGCTAAATCTACCACACTGCCACGCAATCAGCCATGATTACGATTATGAATTAATCGGGAAGGGCACAAATATCTTATCAAACTACTGGCACCGGTAGTAGATATGTTATTTTGTGGGCAACATGACTTTGTTTCTAATATCTTATGATACCAGCGTTGCTCAGGATATACGGTAGTCCACAAGAACTTCGTTCACTTAACTTTGTTTCTCATTTCATTTCCGCGGATTGCCGTGGTAATTTGAGAAGTAATGATTTATTACATTGAACACAATTAACCCAACGAACAAGTCATTTTAAATATGCCCGCATCGGTCATAGATTGCAAATTGTCCTTTTTGAGTTTTAACGTCAACCTAGGGCTTTTTGTAACACCGATATCTTGCCTAAAAATAATCTCGAGTGCGAAAAAAACAAATCAAGTTTGACAAATCCAAAGATCGCAAAAATACGATTCCAATTTATTTATTGTTGGCAGTTTATCACGTATTTGATATTATTTTAGAATAGTAATCTTTTATTTTAGTAATCCTGAAAGTATTCTCGAATCAAACGTGAGTAACGATGAGCACAATCAAATTATTATGACAAGACATTTTAAATGTTGCTCGCAATGGTCATGGATTGAATATTTTACGCAACAGAAATCTCGTTATCCACTGAACATTTTTTTTTCAACCGCGAAGAATGTTGCGCGAAAATTTCCGATTCCAATTTTGAACCCCTCTCCCTCTTAAGAATCCTGGCTTCGCTCCTTCTTGTAAATAATGTCATTTCTGAATTCCGCCTCTTTGCCATATTTCGAGACTATACTGTTGTCAAATTTTATTAAACCTGTTATTGCTTCTTTGAACAATTACAAAATTAGCAAAGTCAGTATTTTGAAAAGTAATCGAATAGCACGCGGAGCACCCAGGTTTCTTCCGCGGAGCCCTGGGGCTCCGTACGGAGCACTTTGAGAACCTATGACCTATATGACCTCGGACCCCAAAATGGAAAATTTGTTCTAGTGCATTTGGATTAAAATTTTTAGTATATTCGGATATATTTCAACATAAGAAAGCTAAAAATGTTATCATCAATAAAATTCGAAAAAATTGGATTTTAAATTAATTTTTTTATCGTATTTTTTGGCCATCACTTTTGATATATTTGATGAAAACATATTTGAACACAATTAACCCAACGAACAAGTCATTTTAAATATGCCCGCATCGGTCATAGATTGCAAATTGTGACTTTAAATTAATTTTTTTAT